CTTCCGTCGGGCCACTCTGCCATAAAGCCCCGACTGGTGGGGGGCTGCAGTGATGGTTGACTTTCTACAACTTTCTCCCATCTCCCGACTGCATCTCTGGAGGTCAGCCACAGTCATCTTTGGGTTCTTCTGTACCTCTCTCACCAAGGCTCTTCTCCCCCGATAGCTCAGTTTGGCCGGACGGCCAGCTCTAGGAAGGGCTGTGGTCGTCCCAAACGTCTTCCATTTAAGGATTATGGAGGCCCCTGTGCTCTTAGGAACCTTAAGTGCAGCAGAATTTTTTTGTAACCTTGGCCAGATCTGTGCTTTGCCACAATTCTGTCTCTGAGCTCTTCAGGCAGTTCCTTTGACCTCATGATTCTCATTTGCTCTGACGTGCACTGTGAGCTGTAGGGTCTTATATAGACAGGTGGGTGGCTTTCCTAATCACGGTCAATCAGTATAATCAAACACAGCTGGACTCAAATGAAGGTGTAGAACCATCTCTGGGATGATCAGAAGAAATGGACAGCACCTAAGTTAAATATATGAGTGTCACAGCAAAGGGTCTGAATACTTATGACCATGTGATATTTCAGTTTTTCTTTTTTAATAAATCTGCAAAAATGTCAAACATTCTGTGTTTTTCTGTCAATATGGGGTGCTGTGTGTACATTGAGGAAAAAAATGAACTTAAATGATTTTAGCATATGGCTGCAATATAACAAAGAGTGAAAAATTTAAGAGGGTCTGAATACTTTCCGTACCCACTGTATACAGCTCTCTAATAACACAAAATTATACTCACTTTCAAGTCGTCATTTATACACTGTCAGTGAAATGGGGAAAATGTAATATTGTTTATGTTTGTGCAAGAATACTAAAAACAAATCTCAGTAGTTCAGTTCAGTGTCGCATTCAAAACACTGGAATAAGCACTTGGTTATTTATCTTTAACAATATCAGCAGGCTTTTATCGTGCTCTTAATGGGTGTGGAGGCTTTGTGTGAAAAGGAGATGCTGTTTGTTTTGGACTGGGCTGAGTGTAGCTGAGCACAGGGTTCACTGCAATGTTTCACTGTAGTGTTAACATTTAAAAGCAGCCAGGGGAGCTGTGCTGAGCTCTTAAAAATAACCAATTCTCATCTCTACCACTGACACTCCTGACCTTGGACCATTATCACTGCAGCACATTCAGACGTCCTGGCATGCACAATCTGTACAAAGCCAGTGCAATGCACATACACAGAGAAGGGCTTCAGCCAACATATTCAGACACAGAAAGCGTGTGAAAGCACCATCTTGTCTCTCAGAAGAAACAACAAAAGCTGTTTCTCTCACCCTCACTCAACACACATATATACAAACAAAACAAATCCATGACAGACAAGGCAAACTAAAAAGGCCCCCTAAATAATGCATGATGCGTTTTAGATGAACATTTGCCAAGCTCCACTGTCCACAACTACTGTACCGTGTGCCTGTTGACTTCACCTACATCTACGTTTTATCAACCCAAGGCTGATATTTGCACACAGTGCTTTAATGTCATCTTGATGCTCCTAATTCATGCTGAGAGATTAAACTTAATCCCTGAAGCCAAAAATAACCCATGATGGTAAATGCTGAAACATCAAGGGGTGGGGTTTGTTGTTGTTTGACAACCTTGTCATGTCCCAGCAGTCAGTTCCGTTAGGAAATGCGGGGCTGTATAATGTATATATAATATGCATGTGTGTGTCATTTATACTGTCTTTGTCTTAATACTGGAGTGTCCCGTCTTGCTATGCCTCATTTCTAGTAACAGACATATCTGAAGAGAGCTCCTGTAACAGTGAAAGTAAAATGAGTGTGCTCATCTCTTCCCAGCTATAAAAATATTTAAGGACAAACACATTTAAAGCTATAATCCTGAAAAATGTGCTACCAATACAAACATTTCCTGCCAATGATGTTTCACATTAAAAGCATTCAAAATTAGGTATTACTGTTATTGTGAAGCAGTCACAGGAAATGCAATGTATCTGTTTGCAATGTTAACACCAACATAAGCTGTTCGTCAAAAATGTATCGATAAAACAAGACAAAATCATTTGACATTTTATTAACAGCATATTTGCTTTTACCACAGTAACCACAGGTGTTGCCAAATCAACCAGAAGTGAAAACGTTATAATTTTAAAAATTAAACATTTCACTAACATTCCTGTAACTTCTTTTAGTGTCACATAAGACATTGATTTTCTATTCTTAGTTATGCTTAATCAATGTCTGTGCAACCATCTTCCTATGCATTTCCATGCTCATGCTTTACCTTGTTTCCCTGTAGCATTAAAATAAGCCATGGCTCAGACTTAAATCTTCCTTTAACAAACTTTCAGACTTTGACTGACAACATGGTGTGTCAGGCTGAAGAAATGCTCTCTGCTCTGCACTTCTGAGTGTCACTTCTATCACAGCTGAGTAAAAAATATAAACATAACTGACAGTGAATACATTTGAAAAAGCTCTTAGGTGTGTTTGATGTCCAGCACTTGGAACCACTCTATAAATGAACACCTCACTCACAAGACACAGAAAAAAACCCATCATCTTTTTTTTCTGTCCTGCTGACGTTAGCTTTTTGTAGCCACTGGTCAGTTCATAAGTCTTTAATATTTTAAATACATTTATATGATAATCACTTTTATTGGCCAAGTATGTTACACACACAAAGGAATTTGTCTCCGGTACAGAACCAAGGAAGCCATCTGCGACGCCACCTCACACACACACACACAGACACACACACTCATACCGATGGCAGCACTGTCCCTGTAAGGCGCTACTCTGGCCATCAGGAGCAACGTGGGGTTCAGTGTCTTGCCCATGCACACTTCAACATGTGGACTGGGGAGAACAGGAAATGAACTGCCAACCTTCCAGTTAGGGGATGATAGCTATGCCTCCTGAGCCACAGCCGCCCCGTAGCCCCATACATACTACAGAATAGCTGATTAGCTTACACAAAGCCATTCCTTGTTACCTTTTTTACATTCTGCTCATTGGCAAAAACCAGAAATGCTGAATCCTCTTACTGTAGCTACTGTAAGACACAGTTAACTACCCAGAGATCATGATCATATAGTACATAAGGGCTGGAACCCAGTTGAACTGGGAGCTTCACCTTCAGGCTTCAAACTCAGCTCCATTTTCAACACAAATATCCAGAACAACAACCTATCAATGGTGGCATCCACCCAATCTGGATGTCATCTTATCTACAACGAGATATTTGAATTCCTTTACTTGAGGCAGCACCCTGATGGGGGTAATCCACAGTTTTCAGGTGCAGTCCCACAATCTCAGGTTTTGAGATGCTGATCCTAATGACGTCACGCCCTGCCTAAGACCGTCCCAATGTCTGCTGGTCATGGCTCAATGAACTCGACAAAACTACAGTGGGTACGGAAAGTATTCAGACCCCCTTAAATTTTTCACTCTTTGTTATATTGCAGCCATATGCTAAAATCATTTAAGTTCATTTTTTTCCTCATTAATGTACACACAGCACCCCATATTGACAGAAAAACACAGAATTTGACATTATTGCAGATTTATTAAAAAAGAAAAACTGAAATATCACATGTTCATAAGTATTCAGACCCTTTGCTGTGACACTCATATATTTAACTTAGCTGCTGTCCATTTTTTCTGATCATCCCTGAGATGGTTCTACACCTTCATTTGAGTCCAGCTGTGTTTGATTATACTGATTGGACGTGATTAGGAAAGCCACACACCTGTCTATATAAGACCCTACAGCTCACAGTGCATGTCAGAGCAAATGAGAATCATGAGGTCATTCTCAGAAAATAGCAAGGATGTAACCCTAAGGATATCAAAACACCCCAATAACACACATGCTGTAGGAGCAAACCCTCCAGTCACCTTCTGAGAAAATGGGAACCACTTCTGCAATCAGCTAGTCCACAGCTGATGTTCCCAAATTCCACATGATACCAAAGAGGTGTGTCAACAAAGAGAGGCCCAAAAAAAATCAGAGCTTTATGCATCTAGGAGCAACTTTCATCCACTCCTACTGTTATGCAACTGTGAAACCTTTTTACTACCTTAATGATGAGATGAACTAATCCAAAGTTTTCTCTCTCAACTCTGAGTACGAGACCTCAACTAGAGGACTCGTGATGCTGAGTACTGATTATCCAACCTCCACTCATGTCACAGGGTTCACGCATTTGTCAAACTGCTCCTTAGGTTTCAAATACAGACTACTGCTCTCCTTTGCTAGCGCAGAACAAACAACACAGAATATTATAGATCTTGAAAGGAGAAACTACAAGTACATGAATCTAGTGCCTACACAACTTTATGAAATGTAATCGTGGTTAAGAGCATTGCCCAGCAACTCCATGCTTGCCTTTAAACCCACAAACTCTATCAGCAGACAATAAAGTTTATCAAGTGTAGCTTCTTTAATTCAGTTTTGTATAAACCTCCTTTTACAACCTGGATATTTGCTCTCCAAATAATAGAAAGTTGGCTATTAAAGCTTCAGGTTAATGATGGTGAATACAATTACTAATCTATAATGACTTTCATGCCTAATTATTATTTCTTATCTTAATGATAATACTGGACCCAGCATTTTCCTTAAAGCTCAGGTAGATGTGATTTAAAATGCCTGGAGGATTATGGATCTTAGCAGTGAAGTGAAACTTTGCTGATCTGAAATAACATCATGTAAAGCTGTGATAACATTTCATATCAGTTTCATTTTTTTATTCCATACATAACCCATTTCCATTTCAGTGCCGCTGGCTGGGAATCAAACCTGTAATCCAAACAGAGCTGTGCTATTGAGATACAGAACACAATACCTTGTTGACCTCCAGGATTTCTCTCCTCTCCTCGGTGGCAGGGCGGCTTTGGCTGGCTAAGCGATCGTCGTGTTTGGAACCGTCATCCTCCACAAAGGGTATCAATTGCTGGAAGTGAGGCCAACAAAAATCTGACTTTATTATTTTAACATAAGCAAGACAACTTTAAGCGAATTGCCTTCAAAATGCTGACATGTTCACACAATCATAAGAGACAAAATGTACTTTTGTGGCTGTCCACTGTTTTAAGGAGGTCTTTGCATTTTGGGATTAAACTCATTCACTGAAGCACATTCTCTCCTCATTCAGTTTATGGTCTAAAAATAACAAAAGCACTGTACTGTATATTCACATTTTCCAGTAGCAGACCTATATGCCTGCTAAGTGCAGTTTTAGGTCAGAATTACATGAGTAGGAGTAATTTTGACCTTTTTGTCCCAAGATATCTCTGTCCTGTCTCATAATCTTGTTCCAAGGTGGTGATGAAAATGGGGATTCTGTGTAAGCTCTCGAACACAGGATGAGTCTTTCTTTCAACGCAAAGAGCGAGTGGGAGATTAATTCATTTTTAAACGCTGTGTGTGCTTGACCTTGTCTGTTTGACACTACAGTAAAGCTGATGTTCAAGAGCCTTGAGGGGAGCCGGTGTTCCTGAGAATCAATAGGGTCACTGCCTGCTGCTTTACATCACACTGCCCCCTAGTGATCACCCCAGAGAGGAAGAGAACAGGATGCTTGCTGCAGTCACACACAAAGTAATATGTGACTGTTGTGAGTCATAGTGCTCCTCGTATAATGCATAGCCAGGAAATACACTGAGAAGGTGTCACTGATTTTATGCTTGATAATCTTTGGCCACAACTACAGCAACTGCGTGTACCCAATGTAAATATAGTCAAATGTCTGTGTAACTGTACAATGTTTCGAGGAAATGCACAGTCATTATGTCGACATAAAATCAGTTTTATTGTTTTATTCACATGGTGGACCATATCTGATGAAGTAGTGATGACATTTTGTATTTGTGGACCAGCCAAGTAAAACTAGCTTTTTGTAAAGAACCATCAGTGTGCAGTCATCTTCTCTGGTTTCATTTGTTAACATTTTTGGTCCAAGCACCTGAGCTAAGGTTTTCTTGGGGAGGTGTATGCACTACCTGCAGTACTGTTTAACACTGTGAAAAATCTACATACCAATTTTGGTGCATATTTTTTGAGACATTTGACAAAATGTTTAATGGGTTGTAATTAAAGTTGGATATTCAGCAGTAGTTTGTTATACTGAAGGCAAGTTCATATTGCCCCGCCCCCCCCAAAAAAGTTACCTAACAACTCCAGAATTTCCTTTGCCAATCAAAAACTGTCATACCAGACAAGATGACAAACACAGATTAGGCAGGAGACACTCTAAACATCCAGGAGCCAATAAAACTGCTATACTGTGGAAAAACATTCTTCGTTCCAATAACAACCTGGCACAATGCTAATCAAAATCTTACACAGTTCTTGAGTTCTGATTGACTGCAGTGTTTGACCTGAGGCCCTGTGGATATGAGACATGATTCAAGAAAGCCGTTTCATCTGGAAGCAATGTATGAATTGTATGAGTACAGCTGGATCTAGCCAATGTCAAGACCAACACAAAAGAAGTAAAAAATAAATATAGGCAGACAGGTAGACGCAGATGAATAGAAAGAAGAAAAGACTACATAGAGATGAACAACATTAAGTTAGGGAAGCAAAAAACAAAGCTGAAGAGGGAAGAGAAATGGGTGGAGGGAAAAATGTGACAAAAAGTGAAAAGAGAAAAACCAAAAAACAGAAAAGAGTGTGTTAGAAACACAGACTGACAGATGTAAAAACCTGAAAAACTATGTTCCTATCAGTGACCAGGCTGAGCCACAAACTCACAAACTCAGGACTTGTGCAGGATATTACAGCAGACAAACTCTGAGCTTGTCTCTGACTCTTGAAAACCTTAAACAGGAAAAGAGGAATGTTTTTTATTAGATAATTTCAAACCAAAGCCAATGACATATGAGATTTTAAAGGTACAGGGCTGATTTTGGCAGTCTGTGGGGGGAAATTTAATGTGCTAAGGATGGTGGGGAAAGATGGATGGAGAGTGAGTGGGTGCACGTGTAGCCATGCAGCAGATGCGAGTGTGAGTGTGTGAGTCATAACCCCTGCCTCTTCCACAGAAAGATGAATGTGGTTTCCTGCTTGACAGAGAAGAATGGCCTAATGAAGTTCTCCAATTTACTGCGCTGAGACAAGAAGAAAAAGGAAGGAAAAGACAAGCCAAAAAACAACAAAATAATAAGAAAATAGCAGGGTAAACATGTAAGGGGAGAGGAAAATTAAATGGCAAGGCTTTTCACTGCAGGAAAGAACAAGACGGCAGAACGACTTGGACAGCAGAGAAAGGGGAACAGAAGAAGAGGAGAAAGCTGGAGAGAAAATGAGGAAACAAAGCCAATGTGAACAAATAGGTTGACTGAAAGAAAGGGAAAGCAAGAAAGAGCCACTATCAAGACGCTGTGAGAGGAAAAAGGGAAAAGGAAGAAACAAAAGGAATAAGAACAAGAAAAAAGGAATCTAAAGAGTGTAGAGTGTAAAAGAGTGAGAAAAACAAGGAAGGAAATATCTGCAGCAAGGTTGCAGCGATAAACAGCTGGAAAGAAAGAGGGGGAAATGCTGACGTGTGCTTTTGGTCCAGCTGTTCATTAAACAGGTCTGTTGCTAATTAGACTGCAATGAGGTCACACTGCGCGAGTCATTGATTCCACGTCCTGTTTCGGGCAGCCAATCGTCAGCAGATGTCAGGTGGGCACCTGAATTCTCTGGGATGATAAATGAATGCATACTGGGGCCAAAATCAACAACCCTCAGCCCCAGACAAACACAGTGAGCTGAGCTATTGGCTGGTCAGCCTTGGTCTGGGTCTCAGTTTCAAGGGGGAAATGAATAAATATTTAAATGGGGTAGATAAAGGGGGGGAAGATGACTCAGTGCAGGTTAACACCATTACAGAAAAGGAAAATGTCAATGTGAACCCCTCAGAGACTTTGATTTGGGGGCGGAACTGTAGACGAGTCGTTCTGAACAACCAGTAGACAGACCATTTGAAATGCTGCTGAGTATTAATTCAATGCGGAAAATATACAGGTTGGCAGCCATCACAAATTTGTTCCAATTTAAGACTGGCCTCCTCCCACGTCCTCCTTTATCCTCAGTAGAAGTCTGCTGAGAGAGATTAGCTCTGAACCAATCTGTAAAAAATTGGGAAGGGACTGTTGCAGTCATAAATCCAATCAAACAGTGGTGGATAGCCGAGCTGCAGCCCTACATGGACCCTTATACAGCGTATGCCCAGGGAGCCACTGCATGTGTGTGTTGAAGAAATTCCTTTGTGAAATGCTCCAATGCACCGCACTTACATCTATGTTGTACAGATTTTCTGTGTGGGATAAAGTTGTGCTCATGCAAGTTTATTTTTGTGTATCTGTGCAGGCAGATAGGGCAAAAGTGTGGCTGATACAGTGGACAGTGACCGTCACCAGCAGTAAAGAGACTCTAGAGACTCACATGAAGTGAAGAATAAATCTGCTGCGAGCAGAGGGAAGACAAACCCAGAGGGAGTACTGTAGGTAGATGAGAGTCCCCCAGTGTAAAGATGTCTTTTTGTGTGCAGCTATGTCAGTGTGTGTGCATGAGCAAGGGGGTGTGGCAATACAAAAGGCCTACTTCCTGTAAACTAACAGCATCCTAATTTAGCAAGCAGTTTGTGTGAAACACTGGGAGTGACTGAAAGTGCAACCAAAAACAACATGACAAGCACATAATATACAGCATGTGTTGATGTTTCCAGCACATCAGTAGCTTAAACCACATCCAACTACAATAGTGTTTATGTTTAAAAAAACAAAAACAAAAACAAAAAAAAGAAAAGAACATCAAGCCACTGTTCTATGTTCAAGTGTCAACGTGCACAAACTTACAGCAAATTTATCCCAGCTACTCCCTGGACTGCCAGCTCTCAGCTACTGTACTGTACCAAAGCACTGTTTATATAGTAAGTCAAGAGTTTTTTTAATCTACTTTACAGACCTGTCAAAAACATCATATAGCATGCAAGATGGCTGAGATTATTACCTCTAATCAAACAGGCCCAAGCGGCTGACAAATGGAACTAGAACTGAAACAATTAGTTGACTAATCAGTCAACTACCTGAGATTAATGATCAACTACTGTTATAAATTATTAGTTCAGTAATGTTTGGTTTTAAGACATTTTAACCTCTCTTCCCCAGAAAAAAAAATGGCCAGGCGCCAAAAATATATCAACTCCTCCAATCCCATTAGTATAAAAAAAAATTCCACCTGCACACTCAGCATGTGTCTCACCTCTGGGGGTATGGAGTCCAGCCCGGCACAGTTTTCGTTGCATTTGTCGTAGACAAGGCGCAACTTGCGAAAGAGCACAGAGAGCATACGTAGGTGCTCCTGGAGTTTTCCCAGCCTGTCCTGGTGGGTGTTGGGGTGGTAAGTGACTCCATTAGGCAACTGAGAAGCACCAGAGAAGACTGGTTTAAGCAACATAAAAGACAACATTTTTTACTAATACAAAGCAACAGCCACTGATCCCTAGTATTGGCTGCAAAAGCACTACAAAGGTCCATGACAAGCCACTAACTAATGTACAATATATGCACTTTTCATTTTCAATTATAACAAAGTGAGTTGCCTTTTTGTTGCTAAGAATGAGACCAAATAGGCCATATATAAATGAGGCAATGCAGTTAACCTGTTTGTGATGGTGCAACATTATGGTCACGGTAATATAATACCACAATTTAAACTACCAAACACAATCTCAGCAGCATCAAAATGTTAATTAAGTGCCTCAGCTGCTGCTCTCCTACTGAGACAGCAACACTGGCTTTTAACTACAACTGGTGTTAGAGTAACTAGACATGATTTTATTGAGAGGATCAACAAACCTCTGCAGCAGCACTGTCTGATTATAAACATCCTACATAACGTGAAACAAGCCTGCCTTCAGGGCAAGCAAAGCAAAGCGAGACAAAAAACTGAGAGGAGAGAGACAGAGGGAGGCTGGGAGGATAAATGAAGAATTTTTATGAGTATAAATACAGTCTGTGATCTTAAAAAAAAGAAAGTCACAAAAGTGCTGTTTATGCATTCTGTGGCTGAGGTGTGTTTGACCCATCTCTGGCTGTGACTTTAACAAGATTAAAACGAGCATTTCGGAAGGCCATACTTAAAGACATACATGATAAAACCATGCTGACCTCATCTTCAGGAAACCATCAGAGCTAAACTACAGGTAAACTGAAGAGCAAACCAATACAAAGACGAATAACCTGGATAAACTGCTTCAGAAATACATTAATTTAGTATTTAATTATTTGACAGTCGTGTCATCATTTGATTGCAGTAAACTATTGCAACGTAAAAATGAAACATTTGAGATACAGTATGATCCATAAGGATAGTACACTGATAAAATACTCTATTTTTCTTCGTATTTTTACCTAAAATAGCACCGTCTTAGATCTGACAACATACACCAAGCCCCATAAACACAGGGAAATCACTGCAAAGCCAAGAGGGTAAACCCCCTTCTTAGCTCGTGTTGGATTTCATAGCCTAAACACCTGGACAGCATGGGTCATATTGCATTACTGTTAGGAAACAATGGAAAACAATGGCTCTGTTCTAGTCCAGTGTTCTAGCCTCACCGTGCACAAAGCCAGAAACTTACACCATCTAAATGTCATTCAGACAGAAATAATTCTATTATTAACACCTGTGCTTTTCCTTCTGTGACAGGTTTAAATGTTTTCTGTGAAAAAGGCCCATTTGGAGCTTGGCTACAACTGTAACTAAGACCAGACTTTTTTCCAACATCACTAACAATCTGAACTTCTTTGCACTTGTTTCTAATTTCTTTCAGAATTAATTTTAATTTGTTTTCTTATTTGCATAATAGTGCATTGAAGGCTATGGGAAATATGAAAGGCAGAAGTAGTGGCAAACAGTAAAGGACTGTAGCCATTTTCGTTCACTAGACTTTTTGTTTGGACACTGACAGACGTGGGTGGAGAGAAAGCCAGAGAGACCTGCATGTTCCTGAGGAGCTGGAAAATCTCCATGGTCCTGAGGACAATGTCTTGGACCGTCTCCTGGCCAATGCGACACAGCGAGGCCGTGTTGACATCACGTGCTGCCTGAGCTTGCTGCTGTTGTTGCTGCTGCTGCAGTGGTGGTTGCCCACCAAAAGGTGACACTAGAGGAGGAGTTGTCATGGAGACAGCAGATGAAGATGATGATGGAGGAGGAGGTGGTGGTGGTCTAGGGCTAAGTGAAGTTCTTTCACAGCAGCACACAATTACATGCCTTAATGAAGGGGTTAACAGGGGTAAGAGAGAAAAAGTAAAAACAAGCCAAAGAACAATTAATGTCTTAAATGCTGCACTTCAAATCTGCAACTACTGATTAACTAACGGCTTTTTCTTCATCATTATCCACCTTTATTCAAGGAAGACCAGTTGAGAGCAAGCTCTCATTTTCAATAGTGCCCTGACATACAATTTACACCATCAAAAAAGTAATAAATATATACACATGAATCAAATTAAGGTGTTAAAAGCCCAAAATCACAACTCGCATTCAAACCAATGAAACATACACAGAAAATGACATTAAAATATAATGTCCAGATCATCCGTTACGCAAATATTTAAACTGTAAGGTACTATATAAAAGCAGTTTAATGAAATAAAGGAATAAAAGTAGCCAGCCAGGTTTGGCATTGGCGCCTTACACAACAATAAGTCAAGTCACATCAACATAAGTATACTTATAAGTGCACCGGCATAACATTCAGCCTGTATCATGAGTCAGCCACAGCAGTGTGGTTGATGAAGTAGAATACATTTTATTTAACTAGAACGCGCAGTGAGCCTCAGTTACACAGCTGTCACAAATTAACAACAAGAACTCTAGCTAAAAACATTCGACACTAATAAAGTCAATGTGCTAATGTTACTGCTTTTAATTCCAGCTGTAAACCGGGGTTTCGGAAGTAGTTTAACGTGTGGTTACACCCGCAGAAGTCTGTTAGATGCTATCCCGGACTTTAAATGCCACACCTAAGTGCAATTATCAAGTAATGGGCTACTTAGTTAGCTAACGTAAAGGTGAAGGAGTGGCTGTCAGCAGAGCTAAGTGGACAGTCACACCACAACGACACTTCAAGCTTTGTCTCGATTCATTTTTGGTGTCGGTGCTGCACCACGTGAAACTTAATACCGCAATAACTGTTCATATTTATTTAACAACACAGCAATTTTACCTGTGTGGTGATAATTTATCTGTTTTTCTGACAAGTTAAAATCCCCTCCTCTGCTCCTAGCATCTCAGCTGCTGCAATTGTCGCGAGAATTAATCTAGACACCGCGACTAGATGCTGTATTTAATAAAGTAAAAGCGCCACTTCAAATTGATTTAAGGACCACATTACGGTAAAGCAAGGCGCACTAAAAGTGCTCAGGCTGCTTGAGGTAACAGCGCCATATGCTGGTCTTCTGGTCTAACACACATCTTCAGCCCCCACAAGCAAGTCAGTCCTGATTGATTGATTCTCATGTGTCTGTCAATGCTGTTTTTTTCTGTAAGGGTAATTCCAATTCATCCCATAAGTGGGCATGTTGTCTACTCTGTGTTAAATTAAATCCATCAGTGGAATCATCCATCCATTTCTTACAATGTACAGTTGTGCTTGGATTATTTTGTGAGCCTTCAGATTTGAAATTCATTTGAAATACAAGAGGTGTCAGAAATATACAGATGGCTATAAGGCTGCTTCTTCAGTGTGTGCCCTCCCATGCGGCAGAATTACTGCTCTGACTTACAGAGACTGGAAATAAAAGCTTTATTGGAAAAGGAAAGGTTTTGCCTTCAGGCTTGAGAGGGACTGAAAAAGTAGATTAGGATGCCTATTACTTAATTTACATTATTCATTCAAACGTGAGGTGACAGGCTGGATTTCATTTTTCTTTTATCTGCAACATATTTTGTGTAATAATAACCTGAAGTCATTTTTCACTTTTTCTCTTTCTCTAAAATATCACCCTACACTGATATGAAAAACACAGTGTCAAGTTTACTTGACTACCCACAACCTCTTAATTGCATTGTGCTGGTTAGCTTGCCACGATGAATGAGTGTTACACTTACAATCCCCATCTGCTGTTCCGCCAGACCAACTGAGGCATGCCATTTGGAAATGAGTTTCTCCATAATCATTCAGCCCGTCTTCTTGGTGTGTTTAATTGGGACGAGTAGTGCTGGTGAGCTGGTAGAGGCATGTATTGAGATGAATACACTTTCCTTGTTCTGATGCTGAATTATACGTTCAACATCCTAAGAAATATTCTTTGAAATAACTACATCCATTCACATTTCACTGGAAAAGGTTGGAAAATGCAAATCAGGTTTGTGGCTATGTGCATCTTTATTTTGTTTGCTCATGGTATATGTGTGTTTATCATGAAGGCATGACTGAGAAGGCAATTGTTTGCAGTCCCTTACCTGTAAGTACCCATTTATCATCACTGATCAAATGAATAAAAAGATCACAATGTATTGATCGCATCAAGGCAAGCTGATGGAAAAAGCATTGATTGGCTTTTCCATGTAAATATAATCAAATCTCGGTGAGATGAAACATTCTTGTAAATATCCAAGACCCTTATTAATCACAAGGAAACGCCATCAGAAATCTTATCATCTTCACTTTGCACAACTTTTCTGTGGTTATACAGTCACAAATCCTACCAGAGAGCAGAAGATTCAATTTAAGTACTGAACAAATAGCCAATGCAGTATTTTATTCCCTCTGTGTCTCAAGCAACTAAATATATGTTGTGTGCTGATGCATGCAAATACACTGCTCAAAAGAATTAAGGGAATGCTTAAATCATCATATTGCATCTCAATGAACAAATTATTCAAATTGAAAACCTTTACTAATGTACATTGTATAATTTGTTCAGAACAAAATGGCATAAGAGCAGTCAATGGAAACCAAAATCATCAACCCATGGTGGGCTGTATTCAAAATCACTCTGAAAATCAAAGTGAAAAAATTTGAAATCACAGGCTCATCCAAGTTGCATGAATTTCATCATGACAACTCCTCCCACACCTGGATCAGGGAACCAGTGAGCTCCTGGACAGTCTGTGATGGTACTCGGTGATGTTGGATGCATTGATACATAACGTCCCATAGGTACCCAATTGGATTTAGGTCTGAGGAACATGCGGCCCAGTCAGTGGCATCAATGCCTTCATCATCCAGGAGCTGCCTACATACTCTGGCCTCTTTCATGCCTGTCATATGTGCTCAGTGTGAACCTTCTCTCATCTGTGAAGAGAATGGGGCACCAGGACGTTGGGCCTCCATGCCACCTTCATAGAGTCGGTTTCTGACTGTTCGGTCAAAAACATGCGCGCCAGCATCCTGCTGGAGGTCATTTTGTAGGGCTCTCGCAGTGCTCCTTCTGTTCTTCCTTGAAGGAAGCAGATGCTCATCTTGCTGCTGGGTGGTTGCCCTTCTCTGCCCTATCCAACTCTCCTGGTGTAATGGCCAGTCTCCTGATATCTCCTCCATGTTCTTGAGGCTGTGCTTGGAGACACAGCAAACCTTCTTGCAACCGCACATATGGATGGGCCATCTTGGAATAATTGGACTACCTGTGCAGCCTGATTGGGCTGCAGGTACTGCCTCGTGCTACCAGTGGTGACAAGGACACTAACAAAACACAAAACCTGAAAAGAATTGCTCAGGAAGGATAACAGGCACCAACATAGCCATGTAGTAAACAAATTCATTCTTTTTGCGGAGTAACAGAGCTGTGTTGGCAGTAAGGGGTTCAACAGGTAGTGTGCTTTGTCACAAAGGATTTTATGACACTGTAAATCAAACTTGTAAAGCAAGACTCCTAAGAGCATTTGAAAAATATTTTATTGAATAATTCATCTCGGCGTGTACCTTACAATTATAAAAAAAGGTAGTGGAAAAGCATTTTCATCATTTAAAAATGCACCTGCTCTCCACATACAGTACTTGTTAGGTTTCTGGTAATGTAGTCCATAGTCTATAGCTACACATAACAGACTGTGTGCAAATGGATGTAGCCGTCTTAGGCTGATAGAGCAGATTAATGTTCCAGCCTGAATTAATCACATAAGGTCACAAGCTAAACAAACAATTTATATTTATGTTCTAAATAGTGAACAGAAGTATAATTTAGAAGCTGCTGAACGAACTGAAACATACAGATTCAGAAAAGAACACTATACAGTGCAGAGTGATTTCTAATTTAATATGAATACAGTTAAAAGCAAAGGCAAATCATGAATATTAATGTCTTAAATACAGTATGTTAAAACACCCAGGAGGAGGACGAAAAAATAAGCTTTTCCCCTAAAACAACATATATTCTGAGCCAGCGTGCCATTCATTAAGACACATTTTTAATTCAATATCACAAGTTCTTTGGGATGTAAACAAAGGCACAGTCGTGACTTGGGTTTTAATGTCACATTAAAACATAAGATAGCAGAACAACTAAATGATGCTACTATCATGTTACAGCAGCAAAAATCATAGTTTAGCCTCATTCTGCTGTGCTCAGATGACAACTTAGGCAGGTTCCTACATCTTGGGGTCTTCGCACATAGTACATCCAGGCTTCAGGTCAGCCTGTCTCTCCATCTGAATTGTAACTGAGTGGAAGTTGTAGGAGGAGAAACAAGCCTGTGTCATTTCTCTTAGGACAGTCTGAGCATCCACTGACTCATCTGTGGAGGAGAGAAGACCAGAAAGAACATGGAAATAAATATTAGTCACTATGTGTGTTTATACTTTACATTTATGCGACTTGAAAATTTTTTAGTGCTCCATAGCTAGTCAGGCTGTAATAATGGTTACTTTACATCCACTTAGGTAACAACATAGCATTAGTCTAGCAAAATATTACCTTTGTTTACAATTAGCAAGACTAGGAATAGCAACTATTCCATTTTTTTTTTATCCATCCAACAACTTTGCATTCTTCTTTGCAATAAATGACTCCAGGCTTTGCTTTATATCGTCAGACTTGCCATAACTTTCTAAACTCTACTTTTAACAATACTAGCCTCTGAGAAAAATGTGTATTTAGATAACATTGGCTTTTATGTCACTTTCTTTATCTGCTAGCCCCCAGGGTTTTCTGTCTGCCGCTTGGTACACACATAAAAATACAGTATGTCATCAATATTATTAAACAAATTATGACAGTACCAGAAAAGCTTAGCGATTAGTGGAGCTGCAAGTCAGTTGCCATATAGAATGTTTGCATTTTAGCATATGGACAATAAAGCTCTTGACATTACTATTGTACATTTTGTTAAAATGAGTGTGAAAAAGATATTTTTCAAGTGAGCCAAAGAAAGAAGTTCATAAGTTTTAGAAAAGCCAAAGTCATTAAGGCCACAGAGTTTGTTTTGTTCATCCACAATGTAGGTTAAGCAGTGTCCATGTAAAGTGCGGTACCATCAATGTAACGTGTAATGTGCAGACAGCTCATAGTTTCAAAAGAATATTTTCATTTTAGTATTTCATTCTCACCTATGGCTACATGTGCAGACAGCACAGTCTGATTCATAGTGAGGGCCCAGATGTGAAGGTTATGGACCGCCGCGACTCCCTTCACTGCTAGCAGACCATCCCGCACCTCACCGTACATCACCCCTGCTGGAATGCCTGGGCCAGAGAAAAGAGAACAATAGTAGGACTATGAGAAAATGGTTATGGAGTCAGATATCTCCACCTTTAAGTACAAATATGTAGATGATTTTGAGCACTGGCTCAGAAATGACAGCCTCACCCTCCATCAGGACAATAAGGATGTCTCTCATGATGGTGATGGTGGTGCAGAAGACCATTATGGAGAAAAGGAAGGTGCAGATGGGGTCAGCCATCTTATATTCTGGCTGAAAAAAAGTAGAAAATGGAGGACGAGTGCATGAGTATTAAAAAATAACCAACAGGTTTACCATCTGCATAATAATAATAATTTGATTGCTTTTGTTCTTGATAATGGAGACAATGCCATCCATGTTCTAAGCATCATGTCCTGAAAAAAAACACAGCAGGTCATTACACCATTTCTGCTGTGGAACTGTATGGTGGATAGAACACACTATTTTAACTGATCAGTAATGTTTACTTGGAGGAAAGGGACTACAGTAATCATACCATATTAAAGGACACAGAACAGTGGAACTGAAATTACTATAGTATTTTGTATGCACTATAAGAGAACCTCATAATTTCTCTGCAGCACACTGAAAATTACTGAGCATTCTACAGACAGACGCCAAGCAACAGAAGAGCATGTGGACAGGAAAGACGACACCAATTGTCCTACTGCAAACAGCCACAACCTTGAGTTGTTTGATATTCCTCCTCAAGAGTGAATTGAGAGGTTGAAAGCTAAAAATAATTCACAGATTCGTCAGTCATACTGGATGCTGCAGGATGCTCGCAGCAAAGTGTCAAACCTACGAAAATAATCAAAATAACATTCAAGATAATGTTTTGGTCAATTTGATTATTTACAGTAGAAAAAAAACAAACAAAAAAACGTCACCATCGTGAGGTATTGGTGCAACATCAAATTATTCAGATATTTGTTATGTAATGCGACTGTTGCAGCTTTAATCTATTTATATTTTATTAAACAAAAATAACTGATGAGTTCTGCCGTATTTGTGCACATGAACTAATGCAATAAATTTTATATTTCTTGGGTCGTTGATTGTTTAACTGGGAAGAAAGTTGCAAAGGCCAAGAACATTAAGGTAAAGTGTTTTTTCCTTCAGTTGATTGATTTTAAGATCTCTTCCCCACCATGTCTTTGATAAACAGATACTGCTTTTTGCACTCTGTAGGAAAAACATACAAAATAAGTACATAATTATGGAATAGTCAAGTAATAATAATTCTAGACCTTTTTCAACAAGGGAAAGGCGCCATGCTGACAAATGCTACATGGCGTATCAACCTTCTCATTGCCTCTCCACGTGGGTTCATTCACCATGAGGACTTTCCACCATGTGTGCACACCTAGACAGACGTCTAACCTTGAAGAAGATAATGATGGCACTGACGAGCACGCTGATGCTCTGGAGAAGATCCCCTACCACATGGACAAAGGCCGCTCTCACACTAGCATTGGCCTGCCGAGCCCTCCGTCCTGACAGACAAAAATAACAGGACAGGAAAACCAATTATACACTTGGTTACAGTCCACCATATATTCCACTATAATGGATTGTAATGCCCCCTGCAGTCATACTACAGAATAGTGTGCATGGAGATTGAACAGTAATTGTTTCTTGGCCGTAACAAAGTGACAAAATAATGACTTGTACAGGAACATACCATTGTCATCTCCTTTTCGTTCTATGTCTACATGGTCATTACTCAGGTGTGTGTGGTTTGAGAGTTGAGTGTATCCTTTTTGTTCCTCGTGACTGTGGCCGTGGCCATGTGAGCCGAGTCCACCATGACTGTGGCCGTGACCGGACTGGTGAAGGGTGACGGCCATGCTGACGAGAGAGGTAAGTGTGTAACTAAACAACTCTGAAATATTTTGACAACATACTACAAAACAAGCTTTTTCAAGAGTCCATGAAATTGAGTTTAGTACTGCCCTCTTCTCTATACTGGCTTTAATTAAACTGTAAATATTCAAAGGCACACTGGTCACTGGTAAAGGCTGTATAGATGAGCACAGAGTATTATACTCACATAATATTGGCCATCACAGCACAACCAGAGGTAATGAGCATGACAGTGCCCTCGATAGTGTAGTCTTCGCTGATGAGGCGCTCCACAGCCAGATAAACCAGCACTCCTGTTACCAGCCAGATGGCTAAAACTGACAGCAGAGCACCCAGGATCTCTGCATGTGTGAAAAGATGACAAGAGTGAGAAGAAAAATAATTGTATAGCATGAAAAACAACATGAGCAACAAACACTGACTGGCTGGCTAACTTTAAATTCATTACACAGATTTAGTATGACTTATGTAAAAGTCTGAAAAACACTTCAGCCTACACAGCAGGAGAAACAATGTTTTGGCAATTCAAATTCTAATCTCTCTCTACTGCCACACATCTTGGTAACAACTGTTGTAAACCTACCACACGCATATAAATAGTTTCTAGTACAGCTTAAAAATCTGACTGCAGCTACTGCTCAATACAAAAATGTTGTCGATACCTGAGCGGTGCCAGCCATAGTTGAGCTTGTGTGTGGCAGGTCTGGAGGAGAGCCAAAGGGATAACAGGCTGATGAGGAAGCAGGCGGATGAGGAAGCTAGTGAAGTCCACCAGCAGGTGGGCGGCGTCTGTCATTACAGCAAGACTGCCTGCAAAATATCCACCTGTAGAAAAAGAAAAACCACACATTTATTTAAATATTATATAAATATTATTGCTGAAATGTTCCATTTATACTTGCATAAGGATATATATGTATTTATAGGCAAGAAATATGTAACAAAGACAAATGGGAAGGCTGTGATTGAGCAGAGGCAAGCAGGAGGAGGGGAAAAAGGCAAATAAAAAGAAGTAGTGGGTATACAGCAGGGAAGAGAAGAGGAGGAAGTGAACAGAGATGAAAAGAGAACAAAGGTCAGGAGCAGAAAGAGAAGACAAGTAAATATCAGATAAAAAAAAATTAGCTAATTAGTCATCAGGTGTTATAAACTGAAGAATCCTCAGATTCACACTGGTGCCATGTCATGTCATGGAAAATACAGTGGGTATAAAACTATAAAGGAGCACATAAGTGCCAGAGAGATGAATAAGGAAACAGAACCACCCACCAAGGATTTCTCCGATCATGAAAATCAAGCAGATGACAGAGACCACATACAGCCTCTTCCTGGCAACTTTCTTCTCTCGCTCACGCTCCTCCTGAGCATGGCTGTTGTCATGGCAATGTTTGATGCCGTCTCCCTGTACTGCCTCCTGCATGGGCACGCTGGATGAACTGTGAAGTCACAATAAATGCAATGACGTGGCACGTGAGAGCATGTGATTGACCAAATCAATGCATCTTCAATCACTGACTCTGTAAAGATTTCTGTAGCTCTGCCTGCAACAAATCATTATTATTACTGAACCTGTCAGTTGACTGTTAAGCTTTAAAGAAGGTTAAAAAAATGGGGGGTTTTTTATGTTTACAAGAGACCATCACAAGTGCCAGATCCTAACATCTTGTCGTCTAATTGCCAATTGTATCCAACCCACAATCCAGTGAGATTAATCGAATGTCAAATTTGTTGAAAATGAATGTTAATACTGCTCCATTGTATATTTGTCCTGGTAAAGGTATGTTCAACCCAAGTCTCTGGCAGTCTGCAGCTGTTTTTGAGAAGATATTTGAAAGAAAAAAAAAAGCATTTAAAAAAAGTGGGTTTATCTGATTTCGGTACAGAAATGAATCTATTTTGTTGTCTTTAAATGATTGGAGATCATTAAAAAAAATCTGAAATCACAGAGCAGCTTCATGATCAGCTAAGCAGAAGGTTATGAGCAGTACAGGAACATCCTTAACTTAGCAGATCAGGGAACAGAAGATGGACAGAGCTTCACCCACCAGCAGAATACAAATGTTTGCACAAGCAAGAATTTCTGTAGGGGTTAAGTCTCACATTGGAACATAGCCATTTATAAGGTTAAATAAATAACACCAAATATCATGAGTCCGTTATTGTGCACCACAAACACCTAGCTGAAATGCTTCTTTTAGGAACGAGGTTAATTATTTAACAGATGAAAAATAAGGTCATAATGCTTTATGCACACATCCCTATGTTGTGCGGTGTGACCTCGGATCACAACCAATAAATCTGGTCAAATGAGCGGGTTTGCGCACTGCTCCTGTTCTCTCAGCAGACCCCAGACCAGCCCCGGGTGGAAAAATATATCAAACAAAACAAAGGTGGCCAAAGATACTGGCCACAGCTAAACCTCCACAACTGAGAAAAGGAGTGGTTTCTTTTCATAGTAGACACTAAATGGTCTCACAAAGTCTGCATATAGTTTGTGACTCACTGAAAGTCGCTGGGTGATAGATAATTGCATATTTCTTCCATTTATTTCTATTTTAGTATTCAGCATAAACGTGAGAAACAACGTTACCTTCCCATCGTGGTATACGTGTTCCCCACGTCTGTCACCAGGGGAATTCTCTCCGGATCCTTGTCTCTGAACATGATTCACTTCTTAGAGTATCAGATATAAATACATCTCACACGAAAAAATGCCCAGACTAAAACAAAAGCATGCAAAAAAAAAAAAATGAAAATAAAAATCAATTTTCAGAACATATAGCCTAACAACTAAACTCAGTGTTTCTTGATATGGTATTCTTTAGACCTAATTGTCTCCTCTTGTAAAGTGTTCCAACGGTCCCAAAACACCCTCTTACACCGGCCAGGGTACAAATAGCTCAATATTTGGCGCTGCCTTGTGACTACCACCGTTTAGACCGTGCGCAAATATGTGGCCGCCTGCAGCGCCTCGGAGCCGAGTGATGAGAGGAAGGATGACGGCCTACGGGGATTCAAAACACAGACATAACTTTTAAAGACACCAAATGTTGGTGAGGGAACTACATGGCAGGCCCATAAACAAATAAGCAATCTCTTTTGCCCACCCCCACCCCGCGTTACACTTGAATTTACCTTAACTAACTGACTGAATGCGCACTGCGCGTCAAATTTGGTGGACGGGGCATTTTGTTGGTTAGCCAGCAACAACTACTAAACTCATTCAGGACCCGCCCCCTCCTCTGGCCAGCAGACACTTGGTGATTACACAATCAACGTGACGGAGTGTCGTGCACTCATTCCCTTTGTATAATCACATGACCACTCATTGGTGAAATGACCTCTCATCAGCTTCGTTTAATTACCTTTGATGGTTTTATGTTGCAGCCTGTATTGAGATTTCCCTCTGGAAAGCTGAGAAACGTCTGCCCTTCAATCTGCAGCTGATTTTACTCGAACATCACAAATACTTTTCTTACGTTAATCATTACGCACCGGCAGCACTTAGATTTTAGTATTTCAGCAGGTCAGGCTGAAAATGTGGTGGAAAATAAAAATACTAAAGTACAGGTACTTGAAAACTGTACTTAAGTACAGTACTTGAGTCAATGTACTTAGTTACTTTCCACCTCTGAACACACGATGAGCAGTCTGCAATTATAATTACAATGATAAAAGTGAATAGGGAATGGGTTTGTGCAGCTCTCCTCTGCAGCTCTGTAATACCAGTTTTGTTTTAACGTTTTGTTCCAAAATGCACCACCAGGTGGCGCCAGTGAGCCATCTACATCGCCTTTCCAGTCCCACTCAAGTCAGTGCGACAAAAGAGGTGAACTGGAAAATATTAATGATACCTCAGATAGGTGAGAATAATTTCTAATTTATTTATTAAATTAAATAACAGTAGGCAGTTAGCCTGTGGAAGAAGTATTCAGATCTTTCACTTTAAGAGTAGGAAGGCAAAGGCAAGTATTGTATTCAAAATTCACCTTGAGGAAAGGTACTAAAGAATGAGTATGGGTTCCAAAACTATTCATTATATGAGTGGTTTATGTCAGAATACTATATGTTGTATTACTGAACTGCAATATTGATATTGTTGTAGCTGGTAAAGTTGGGGATCATTTCCATCACTTTATATACCTGTCAATTATATACCTGAGGTTAAATGAAGACTCATTTTATCTTATCCTAAAAAAATCTACTCTATCATAATGTGTTCATTAATTATATTTCATAATATTAATCTGAATCTGTACTGTAGTAAGTAACTAGTAACTGAAGCTGTCAGATAAATGTGGCGGAGTACAAATGTTTTCAGTTTGAAATTGACTTGATGTAGTAAGCAGCATAAAATGAAAATACTCAAGTACTTCAATGCTGTAAAACCTTGAGTAAATGTACTTAGTGACCACTGAGAGTGGTGAAAGATACAAATAAATATTGATATAGGTTTTAAATTCTACTTTTTGAATATAGTTCTATTATACATATTCACTCAGTTATGCTGCATCATGTGATGTTCCAGGTCGTACCACTTACATACGTCAGTGCCCTTCAGTTGACAACAGGATTAAGAACATGAGACAATCAAATAACGAGGTTTAGGCTTTTTTCACCATCCCTTTTGAGAGCAGTGACATTTGTTTCCTTGAAGAGATCTAAAAGTAGGGTCTGTTTGACTCTAAAAATAGCTGTCAATGCGTTTTGTTTTCCGTTTTGGTCAATACATCTGGGAACTCCAGAAAGCGGGCCTGCGTTTGGTGTGCCAAGATGTAGCAGTGAGGTTGCTAGGGGCTGTAGAGTGAGGGGGAAATGACACAAGAAGGGTTAGTTACACATGGCTGTTCATGCTGTTCTTAAGACCTTGACCCGGCGATGGGCCACTCACCAGGTCCACAAGAGCTCTACTTACACGATAGGACTGTTTGTGTATCTGAGAGTGTGCACCTATGCATGCATATGCTCTGCCCTCTCCTCTTTTAGCAGACAAAACAAACCAATGCCACCGCAAGGTCCAGTATTTTTAAAGATACACAAATGTTGCCATGGCAACTGCCTGCCTCCTCCTCTCCTTTCCAAACTAATGATCACAGTGTGTGTGTGTGTGTGTGTGTGTGTGTGTGTGGGTGTGTGCGCGCATCTGATGAAAGGCCCCAGTAGTGGTAAACAACTCCCGGTCAAGCATCTGGACAACACAATGACGTCAGACCTGCTCCAGCACATTCACACTCAAGTGACACCAGTTCACTTTGCCAAGGAGCTGAGGGGGTAATGGTTGAAAGACAGACAGCAAGAAAAGAGCAGAGGGGGGAGACAGGAGTGTGTATGAAAGAAGAGACAGACAGAGCGAGTTCCTCATAAGTCCTCAGAACTGCTAGAGATCTCATAACCGAGGAGACAGAGAGACTAGGCGAGGCGTTAACAGCTGACAAACACAAAACTCCTAGTTAGACAAATTTAGGATATCACCAACCTAACATGATGGAAGTGGTCCTGACCAGACTGCGGGACTTCTCCTGCAAGACCACGACATTTGATGACTGCAATCCAGCTGGGCAGAGTGTATGCAGGGACCCTCGGAGCAGGACTGACCACCTAAGAGCAGGGTGCACAGCTGGAGGAGAAAGCAGTAAACTGGACATCGAGAGTGCACTGGCCTGGCTGCGAAGAGAATTGGTAAGACATAAATATTAAGTAGGTCCATATGAATGTGTCTCAGGTGGAAAAATAAATAAGGCCTAGACTTAAATAAAGGTTTGAGGGACTTTTATTTGAGTATTTAAGGTCCTTAGATTCTACCACACTGTGTCTAATATGTTGCAAATCCAGAGTTGATAGTAATGTTGAACTGAATCTTTCAGCCACAGTTAAATAATATGATGATTTAAAATGATAAGACAAATCTGACTTTACACATTCATTTAAAACTGATATCCACAGTTTGTTATAGTGCTGCTAGTTTCCAGGAATGCTACTGTAAATGGAGATAAATATAACATATTACAATTGCTCCACAGTTTAAGAATGGATCAATATACCTGATCTGGAAAGCCCTCGGTGTGGTCCTCTGACAATTTTAAGATACCAGTGAGATTGAAAGCATTTTATTGTCTCATTATGCTGAAAGTTAAATCAAATGACCTCCTGGGTGTTTTGCATGTAGGTCATGTTGTTACAGTGTCAGTCCTTTTAAATCATCCTCTTCAGTCAAACAGGCAAGTGTGTGTGTGCAGGTTTATTATGTGTATGTGTACGTCTGTTTGCACCTCTGGGAGCAACTCTGTAAGGCTCATTGTCACGGCCTAATATATCACTTGGCATTTATTGCATTCACCCAGACAGCGCGTCATGGTAACCGAGTGTCCCGCGTGTCCACAGAGAAGGAGAGACCGGGTGTATGGATGAAACCAGAAAAGACAGATTCCTCCTGACTGTTTTAATAACCACCGACTGTAAAGCAGCAATGGGTGACTATATCTGAACTGATCTCATCTTAAAGGATAGGTTCACCGAGTTTCAGTTCTGACCTTATGAATACTCTTTCTCATTTGCATTCTGAGCTTGTCACTGAGGTTAAACAATGTCTTTTTAAATTCAGGATAAACGCCATGTTCCATTTACTGCTCTTCCCAAAACAATCAAATAGACTTTTGTCAGTTTTACTGAGCACTATAAGGACTTCTCATCTGTACTGATTTAGACTAGAGTCTACAATGGAACAATATAGAAAATAGCACTTACAGATGGAGATACACATATACACAACATACTCAACATGCCCACATCTCCAGCTAGATATTCAAGATATTCGTGACAAGATGCAAATTAAGTTCATGTTTCTTCTTTTTCCTCCAAGTGTGGACAAAGGCAGCCAAACCCAGCATCATTCAGCCGGAGTCCAGTCTCAGACTGGTGCTGTAATTAACAGAAAAAAGAAATGCAGACTGGCCCAGAAAGGTTTTATTGTGTAGGACATTCCTCATTCCTTTGGACAAACTTGGACTCTGCAGCTAGTGGAATTCTGAATATCTAGTTTTACAATGGCAGCAATTAGACAGCCTCTCATAACAAAAAGGGAACAGCAGAAAGATGCATTTGCATTTGAAAGAATGAAATGGCTGTGGTTTCATACTAAGAATGAACCTGCTCAGCTTAATCATGAAGGAAGCATTTTGGAAAAAGGCATAAGGATCTCCAAAATTCTGTTTAAGTTTCTGATTCTTTCCTTCATTACATTATACGAGATCATAATACTTTCGCTCTCTATCCATTTGTCTATGTATCGAGAATATCTCAAACCCAACAGTTGTACCTTTGGTCTACAGATGGAGATGCGCTCCCAGGACCAAGCTCTGATCCGGCAGCTGATGGAGCTTCACTCCGGCATCCAGGAGCTTAAGCAGGAGTTTTCTGAGGAAGAGCAAGAAGAAGAAACAGATGAGGATGAGGAGGAGGAGGAGGAGGAGGAGGAGGAGGAGGAGGAGGGCAGCTACTGGGACTCTGAGAGTGAACGAGGAAGTAGCAGCATCTACTCCAGCTCTGGGGAAGTGGGCTTCTCCATTTCCCTCCTGAAGATGGCTCGGCCCCTGTATTCGGGAGTTTTATCGAAGAGGGCATTCAGCAGGCGAAGCTCTGTGCCTTGAAAATTCAAACAATTAGAAGAAATTCAGATTCCCCTCAGCTTACTCATATCTTCTAGGATAGACAACAAAGACAAGGTGGAGCAAGTAAAAAAAATTGCAATTTCCCACTATAAATTCAACCAATTATAAAGTCAGATAAGAGGATAAGCAGAAGTAAGGAACAAATCAGCAGTGGTGTCATGTACTTCTTACACTAATTTAGTGTAGTGGTATCAATCTTCTCATCTAACACTCAGCAAGAAAACAAGTGTTTTCCAAACTATCAAACTATTCAGTTGTGTTAGTGTGACAGAGGACAGTATAAGTTCTTTAATGAAAATAGACCTAAAGGCAAACATTGTCGTCTTTGTGTAGTACTGTCTGTCTCGAAGTGAGAGAAAGTTTTCTTAATGTTAACAGCAGTTTTTCAAACAGTTTGCTGAGTTGATTTTTCAAAAACTGTTCAAATATTAATGTCTGTATTTTCTTATACATGTAAAACTATGTGAACCTGTCAGTTATTATTGTGCACCACAGTTCATCACAGGGCTGCAAGCTCGCTGACCTTTTACAACCATAACTGCATACACAATGGGTTCAATGCCGCCGCAGGACCGCCAGGAGTTCATTGGATCTTTATTGCGCTCATGCAGTGATAAAACATTCTGATAACAGTGTGACATTGTTAGAGGGAGCTTGTAGTCTTAAACATCTGTCTGAGAAAGGATTACTAGAGTATCTAAGATGGTACAGTGAACCAACATGTTAATCTATATTTAAAACTGTAACTTTTGAACTACTGTATATAAGCTAGATTTGGATGTGACATATTTTATAACCATACCTGAACTTCTAGAAATATTTCAGCACAATAAAGATATTTAAAAAAAAGTGATGTTGCACTCTTTATTTTTTTCTCAAATTAAGCATGTCAGCATAAAACCGTTTTTTGATTTTGAAATTACATTCATAACATCTTGTTTCCTGACCTAGCCAAGGAACAATACATGCACAAACAAGTTTGTTTAGCACAGGTCTGCATGTGTGCAAAGAAGAAAAAAAAAAAACACTTAACATGCCGGCATCACACGAAACCTAGCACATTCAGTCCTTCTTTTTCCTCTGCCTAGGCAACTTTACATACACCAGTGTCTATTTTTACTATAACATATCACAAGCAAATGCCTTTGACTTTCAGATGAGCCATGGGCTCTAGTAGGAGCATTTTTCTACTTGCTCTTCCACTATACTCTTCTGTGATAGATGGGGCTCTCTACTAGGGCTGGTTACTGCTGATCATCCCCCTCTACTTCCATGCCTCCAAAACTCTCCCTCCTCAGCCTTTGGATCTCTGTGTTGAGTCCCAGTAGTGTCTGAGCCAGCTGCAGGTCCTGAGAGCGCATTTCCAGCTGCATGACAACAATGAAAGAACTCACTAAGCATGCCAGAAGCTACAATGTACATATACATTTACTATAGTTGCAAAGACACAAAGCTACACACGACAGATAATAATTACTGGTGGTGTCTTACTTATTGTCTCTACATTAATACGTTGAGACATTAAGTAAGAAATAGCAAGGTCATTTTTTAACATGACAGTTGTTGCACATTACAGAGGAAAAAAAGCACAGTTTCATCTTACCAGTTCGGACCTCAGCCAGGTTATTGCTCCATCTATCTGCGCCCTCCGCAGCTCTTCATTGGCTTGGTAACTCCTGCCGATGCTCACTGGTCTGACAGTGGATCCAGAGTCTTGAGCATCTTCTCTGGACTCTCCTGTCGTCCTGAAGGCATGAATCAGTTTGTTCTTAATGTTCTCCAGAACCATAGTGGACAAAGTATCCTCGCTGTGACTGTCTCGGTCCATGCTGGGAGGGTATGAGTGTGTGTCCCGTCACGTTGTTGCCTCCCAGCACTTTCTGTGACAGAAAACAATCACATCAAACTTTTAGAGACTGCTTTTTCTCTTCTTCTTTTCACTCCACCAGATCGTCACCTTATGAATCTTCTCTGAACTGGTCTTCCTCCTTCCCCTAAGTGAGCAGGACTCTGTGGGACAAGTTTCAAATGATCCCTTTGCCTGGCTGGTGTTGAACTGGCTTGTTTTGTCATTGTTACTATGGAGAAACAGTCCTCCGCCTGCAGACCCCCCTTCCACCTCCTCCTCTTGCTTTCGGTAACCCTAATAAGAATGGTGGAAGATCTCAGACAAAGACTATTGTTGCCTTCAGAAGAAGTGAAAAGACCCCTCCAACACCCTGCCCCCTTTTCCCCTTTCTCTCTTTCTTCTTCTCAGTCAATCCCACCCCCATACAATTCCAGTGTGAGAAATGTGCTGTGAGTGAGCTCTCATTTAGACAAAGTGCCCATGTGTAAACCTGTGTGTGTTTGTGTGTGTCTTGTACAGTGCACACAAAATCCATCAAACCCACACTGGACATTTTCAGTGCGTCTCCCTAAATAAGACCTGCTTGTCAGCTTAGGAGACAGACAGGTTGAGCAAGGAGGGAGATATAGCCTCCGTGTTAGTCGATTCAGAGGCACAAAGGCCATCCTACGGTGAAATATAACCAGGCCCTTTGTGCATTAAGTCCATTCCCTGTGGGGTTTGTAGGATGGTTTTTGGCAGTTGTGAGCAGTTTTTTCCTCTGACTTTTGTATAAAGATGAGACAGTGGTCTAGTGTATTTTCCTGCCTGACTTATGGCCCTGGCTGTGAGAAGTGAGAGGGCACATTTGGAGGGTAAATCACAGTCTTTCTTTCTCCCAAGGTAATTATTCACTTTGAGGAAGGATTTTGCTCTTTTTCAGTGATATGTCATAGCAAACAAAGAGAAGCAGCGTGTGTTTGTGTGTGAGAGAGAGCAAGACCTTGTGATGTCCAAATCCCCATTAAAAAAACTCCCAGCCAAGTTCTGCTCCACACACTGACCATTATATTGATGACTTTGAGTTGTAATCCTGTCATAAAGATGTACAAATGAGAATATTAGAGAGAGACTTTTCAGAGCTTGTAAGATGTGAGTTATAACTCTATGTCCAACATACCTGGCCAATAAAGCTGATTCTGATTTATGCAGAGGTCTGTGGAGTGTAAGAAGATGTTGGAGGGACTGGGCTGTCATTCTTGAAGGTCAAGGAAATATATGTCAACAATGACAGAGACAAACAAGGTGTAAAATCCCTGACTGAGCCTCAGGTGGTGAGACAGAGGGGTAGAGCAAGGGCGTCCTTCCTTGTGCAACTGCCACAGCTTGCTATCTATCAAATACAAAACCTTTATTTCCATTTAAGGAAGCATGTGGTTACATCAAAATAAATAAAATACACTTTTAATTATGGAAGGAAAGGTTTCAGCAACATTGTTTAAAATCCTATAATTACACAGTATTAAGTATGGTAATTAAATTATAAATGTGCATGTTTCAGATCCCTTATATCATTCTTTGACAGTTCTTACCTTATATTTTACGACATTTGTATTTGTGATTATCAGGTGATATTTTACAGCCTCATAGGACTTTTATCTAAATTCAGTGCAAATGAGAAATGAGATCATGTCTTTTATCTGAACTGTGCTACATTTTAAATCTCCTGCCCCCTGGTGGCATTTTCAGCTATTTGCATGCAGCTATTATTTTAATTCCATAACATGCAAACTGTTGGTATGTTTTTGTGTGTGTATTTAGATTTGTGCAACTTGTACTGATACTCTCCAGATGAAGAGCATTTGTATTGGACGTTGGAGGGGGCAGGTGTGGACCAACACCTGTCTGAATGGATCATTAACTACCTCACAAACAGACCTCAGTTTGTCAGGCTGCATGACTGTGTGTCGGATGTGGTAGCCTGCAGCACGGGGGTGCCCCAGGGGATGGTGTTTTCCCCCTTTCTGTTCACCCTCTACACATCAGACTTCAAGTACAACTCCCACCACTGTCATCTACAAAAGTTCTCAGATGACACTGCTATTGTTGGATGTGTATCTGGGGTGGGGTGAGGAAATATAGGGGAGTAGTTACTGACTTTGTGGAGTGGTGTGAGAAAAATCACCTGGTCCTGAACACCAGCAAGAAAAAAGAGATGGTGATTGACTCCGGGTGGAAATCACCAGTACTCATGCCGGTGAGCTTGCAGGGCTCAGATATTGAGATTGTGGACACCTTTAAATACCTGGGGGTCCACCTGAACAAAAAACTGGATTGGACCAACAACACAGATGCCCTGTACAGGAAGGGCCAGAGCTGCCTCCACTTGTTGAGGAGACTGAGGAACTTTGGTGTGCGGGGGGGACACCTTTGGATATTTCATGATTCTGTGGTGGCATCTGCAGTTTTTTACGCTGTTGTGGGTTGGGCAGGAGGTAGCACAGTCAGGGACAGAAAGAGACTCAACAAGCTGGTTAAGAGAGCTGGTTCTGTCCTGGGCTGCTTTCTGGATTCCATCGAGGAGGTGGCGGACAGAAAGATGTTGGTAAAACTAACATCCACAGACTGTACAATACATCACTGCAGTGATAAGCTAGGTGAAATTATGAGGGACTATGTAATAGTCAACTGAGGTGCAATACTCAAATCCTGGGGTAAAATGCATAGTTAATATGCACATATGTAAATTTTGTTCTTGATTATTCAAATACTTGATTCTGTCTATTTTTGAGTACTTGGAATTTATTTATCAGGATGTATGTGTGGTGTTTGTTTCTCATGGTGTTATGTTGTTTGTTCTCTATTGCTGCTGAAACACTGAAATTTCCTCATCGAGGGATCAATAAAGTACCTACCTACCTACCTATTCATAACAAAGCTGGTTAAAGGATGGAGACTCTAACAGACAGATCAAGTTTAATTATTGACTTTCTTTCCTTTAAATGGACAGTCAATTCAATCGCTTCACTTTTAACAGTACAGCTGTAGAGCAGAGAAGCAGATAAAGTGGAGGGGAAAGCTGAAAGGAAGCCAACAAAAGCTAGCGCAGCCTGGATGTCATTAAGACAAGCTGCATTTGTCAGAAGAAATCACAATACACCACCTAAGTACACTACTCTCCCAAGTTTTATGTTTCCGGTTTCACAATGTTTTATGTGCTTTACTTGTTCATTTTACTGTTTCCATCTACTCTATTTAATTACATGTATGTTTTTTTTTCATTCCCAATACTTTTAAGTGCCTGTGGTGCTCAATTTTTTCCATTTATAAAGCAGTTTGTAACATTTTAAAAGGTGCTATATATAAGGTTTATTACTATGATGATTATTATTACTCTTACAGAGTGAACTGAACTCCAGTCTTTGTTGACTGACTGTATCACTTTCAGATGTTGGCAGTAAAACAGATGTAAAGAGCATTAAGTGAGACTGATATGGAAGCTAACAGGTTAGGATTAAATGTGAAGAATGTAAGACTGATTTATTTTTCATATCGGCCTCGTCCAGCAGCCTTAGACTGCAGTGCTCAGCCCTCTGTCAGCTGAGCCAGACTGTGCCATATGAGCAAATTCAGTTGACCATGATGTGCCCCTGGCCTGATGTAGCCTGATAAAGCTGGAGGAAGCAACTGCAGGATTAGTGTTGTTCCAGAAAGACACACTGCATATATACACCTAGCTAAAACTAACACAGCCTAATTCAACAGTCCAGCAGTAAATCCTTCTTCCTGAAGGTGATAATGTTTGGTTTTGTTCAGACAGTTTTAGAGAGGTGTTGATTTAAAGGTGTCTGATGACTCTTCATATTTTTACGTTGGGAGCAGGTAATTTTTTTCCACACCTCTGCTTAAATATTAAAAGGAGTAGGAATTTAATTCTGTAGTATTGCTACTTTTATCTAAGTAACCACCTGAGTACTACCTACATGGCCCAGCATCAGCATCTCCTACATCAGCACCGCTCTGCATCCAGCTGAGCTTCGCCGTCCAATCTACGGAGAGGACGCCATCTTGTTTGTTTTCGTCGGAGGAGGGATGCGGTAACAGAGCCGGCAACACCACAGCCTGCAAAACAGGGAAACACACAGCGGGTAACCGGTGGGTCATTTATGTTTTATATGAATGGTGAAGAAAATGTTCACTTATCAATGTGAGCAAAAACACGCTGGCTTCGCCGACACGGTAGCTAGTCTTCATCATTAGCTACCTGGTGTGAGGAGACAGCGGTTAATGCGGTTTCATCTAATTAACATGCAATTAACTAGAAAGACATTCTGAGTTAGAAATGCCCGGGTTCGTTTTCTAGCAGTTTGCGTAACCTTAACCATTCATTACACTTTGTACTGATAACAGGCTAATATTTGCGTTTGGTGCTGCAGTTGCAGGTAGGCTACGTTAAGCCGCAGGTAGGTTACGTTAAACGCTATAGGCGAATGCCGCTGGTATATCAGACATGTCATTTGCCTTCACAGGTATTTTACAGATTTCCAGGGATTCAGACAGCAGGTAGTGAAATGTAAATTAGGCAGTATCACAAGAATGAGCAACAAAACAAAACAGAAGGTAGTGGCCTAATTGAAGGACACTAGAGGTAAAAATAAGGATGCACTGTCCTTTCATAACAAACTGTGGTGACTTAGCTTGACCAAAAGACGGAAATTGGTTAACGCTGTTTTCACTTAATTGATCTGCATACTCTCTGTATTAATCTTTGGCTTTCTTTGTGTTTAATTTTCATCAAAATGGTGAAAATGCCAGTCAACTAAATGTGATCTAGTTTGATAGCTCGTTTTATCCGAAGTGCAGACAAAACCCAAAGATTTATAAGTTATATAACAAAGAAAAACAACAAATTCTCACACCTGAGAATCTGGAACTAGTAAACGTGACATTTTGCTTAAAACGACTAAAAGGTTTACTCACAGTTAGAATAGTTGCAGATATTTTGATGGCCCAACAAAACTCCAACTTGTCATATATCATGGCCTTCCTCCATTGTTAATCACATGACCTGAGTCACATGATAACAGGTGTATAAACATTTTGAGAATCTGCTGCTTTTGCCATGTCTTAATATTAAAATAAATGGAATGTAATTTATATTTTGGGGTTTTGGAAGAAAAATTACTAGAAAAACATGACTATGAAGTTTAGTTTAGAATATTTGACGGATGAATAACTTATGATTAGTTGCAGCCCTAGTAACAAGTTGTCCCAAACAAGAAATTAAAAAATAAGTAGTTGACTGAGCAATCTGAAGTCAAGCTCCACTTACTCCTTTGTTCCAGAGCTTTCAACAGTATTACATGGTCATCACCAGGAGACATTACTCAGTTGTCATGGAACTTTAGATTTTCAGAATGTGATGTGAAACTGAACTTTTAAGCCAAGAAGTCCCAAAAGTACTCAGCATGTTAATAAAATTTGAACGCCTGCCATTTCATAACAATTGAGCAACCTTCATCTGATGAAGAAGACTGTATTTTATGGTCAAAAGCTCAGGAATAGGCCTTTTTTCAACAGCTGTTTCCAAGATGGTGAGTGTTATGCACAGCATATAGACATTATTTTGAAAGAATATGTGCAATAAATGGGGGGTGAAGATGTTCTGTGGGTCTGCTAGCAGCCATTGAAAGAGTCCTGTACCATAGTGTGGGAGTGATGGTCACACCGTAATCTGTAGGGTTCTGTGATTTAGAAAAGTCTCAAGTAATCAATCAGCTTTTACCCTGCTATGAACTGCTGCCTCTAGTCTTGTTGAGCTCAACAACCATATCCCTACCTTCAGAGTCTGCCAACACAAGCTCAGATAACATAATGAATGCCTCTTTTCAGCTGTCACATTTGGTTTGTTTATTCAGAGTTGTGATCTCAGTTATATACAGCATGTTGTTTCCTCTCTCCAGGCCTGCCACCCTTCCCCTTCCCCTTTCCCTTGTGGTGAGACCACGCTGAGACGATGTTTTACGCCCACTTTGTCCTCAGCAAACGTGGGCCACTGGCCAAAATCTGGCTGGCAGCCCACTGGGACAAGAAGCTGACCAAGGCACATGTGTTTGAGTGCAACCTGGAGAGCAGCGTGGAGAGCATCATCTCACCCAAGGTAATTTGTTGTGTGGTTAACTTTCACAACTCCCATTCACTTTAAATGGAGGTTATATGTTGTTGTTTTTTTACAGCCATGTACTCTAAGTACACGAGTGCATGTGCTGATTAACAGCAAATTGTTCTATCATTTCAAGGAGATGTTTATATATTTTTCCATCATCCATTATCTATACTGCTAATCCTGAAGAGGGTTGCGGGAGGGCTGGAGTCAATCCCAGTTGACATTGGGTGAGGGTTGGGGTCCACCCTGGACAGGTCACCAAGTCTATCACAGTGTTGTTTATATATTTTGGGTATTGGTATGACAGAGCCACTGCTTGAAGCCAGATAAAGGTAAGTGGCACTGGACTGGCAAAGATCTCCCTGGTATTAGTAGATGAATTAAAATAAAGAAAAATTAGATGTGAATCAACTAATAATGTCAGACTTATTGTGAGACTAGCTATTGAGTCTGCTTTTCCCATCAGGCTTTAGATTACATTTGCTCAGTTGATTGAATACTCTGAGACACCACTGATGATATTATATGACATAAACAGAACAGCTGCTATAAAACACTGCAGATTTATTTCTTACAGTATTGTAATGTCATTTCTTTTACAGGTGAAAATGGCTTTACGAACATCGGGGCATCTGCTGCTGGGGGTGGTGAGAATCTACCATAGGAAGGCCAAGTACCTGCTGGCAGACTGTAATGAGGCCTTCATCAAGATCAAGATGGCGTTTAGACCAGGTTGAGAACAAAATCTAACTCACAAGTCAAAACTGGGCTTCCCAAACAGCAGTGACTTCTGCATTTTCCTCTAGGCGTCTCAAGATACTGAAGCGTTTTTCTCATCCTTTGAAAAAGATGATATTCATTTTTGTAATGTTACAGCTTTGTCTCTGGACATACAGATTATCCAGTGATAAACAAACACACATGCCAAAATAATCTACTATTTTATACAGTAGAATTATAATTTATACATATTTCCATCTACAATGAGCGTGTGCAGTAAGTTCATCACATACACACTGTCTCTTAAAGAAACAGAGACAATGTATGTGCATCTAGATACAAATCTTATGTTGTACATACATGTATAAATACATATCACACAGATTCATTCCTGCCACTTAAGCTATGTCACATGCTGTAACTCTTTCATACATTGTGTTGTTTCAGGTGTGGTGGATCTTCCAGAAGAGAACAGAGAAGCAGCCTACAATGCTATCACTCTACCTGAGGAGTTCCATGATTTTGACCAACCACTACCAGACCTAGAGTGAGTCCTCTGATGGTATGAGAGAGGGCTAGGTAGACATTTATTATATAGAACCGTGCAAGCTTTCTGTCTTCATTTGGAAGAATTCTTGTGATAGATTTCACTCTTGCTCTTGATCAGCACAAATAACCCACTGATACATTCTAGGAAATGTCACTAACGAATGTTCAAGGAGACAAGACAGGCCCAGGGATGCAGGAAGGCACTGGGTAAGCATCAAGTGCTGTAAATACAAGATAAATACTGAATCTGCTGTGTTTTGTTCAGTGATATTGACGTGGCTCAGCAGTTCAACTTGAACCAGAGCAGAGTGGAGGAGATCACCATGAGAGAGGAGGTGGGCAATCTCAACCTGCTGCAGGACAATGACTTTGGTAGGTTCTCAGCAGGCATGCTTTCGTTCAGTAGTGTCATGCTTGACAATCTTATTTTAAACAGTAGGAACTTCCATGTAAACCCACAGCCTTATCATCTTGCAACTGAGCAGCTACACAGGAGCACTGTCACCCCTTCATTCTACCCATCGCAAGTGGTCACTGGCAACAAGCAGTTTAAACACTATGGATTTATTTTTTGCCGTTGTTAGTTGACAATGTAAATTCTTATACTCGACCACATTCTGTATAACATAATATAAAGATACTTATCTGTTGTGCAGCGGACTTCGGGATGGATGACCGTGAGATGATGCGGGAAGAAAGTGCGTTTGAGGTGGACATCATGGGAGCATCAGCTTCCAACCTGCTGCTGGAGGCTGAGGGTGGGGCTAACCAGATGGCTGACAAGTCCAACCACCTGGATTATGACGACCAGTACAAAGACGACTTCGGAGACAATCCCATGGAGAGCAATGAGGGAGGCATGCTGGGTAAGAGCCTGTCAACATCATAGACACTGGAGCTACATTTAATTGGTGAGAACATTTTAGTTTTCTGACATCTGTAAATGATACTGTTTCTCCCCAGACCAGTGGCTCAAAAAGTACAATGACTATTTTTCTGTGTAGTGGACAAGCTCCTGAGTAACGAAGATGGGGGCGGCATCTTTGATGACCCTCCTGCCATCGCAGAGAGTGTGATGATGCCTCAGGACCACGGAGATGACGATGATGACTTTGATGCCCTCTCAGGTCCGTTCCACCACTCTCCAGCAGCAGGACCTGAACAAACACCTCAGTGTTTCATGCTTTGTTGCATTCAGTAGAAATTACAATGCAGTTGCCTCTACATTGTTAAATGTATGTCCAACAGAATGTGATTGTGTGTTGTTAGCTGGAGCCCCAGATAGTCCGGACTCAGACCCACCAGAGCCCCTACCTGCCATGGCTGACCAGGCAGAACAAACCACCCTGGTTCACAACGAGGAAGAAACCTTTGCCCTGGAGCCCATCGACATCACAGGTAATGCAGCTGGTTTGTTTTTCCAGACAGATTTCCATGAGGTTTCAGGTGATTGAGTCCAACTGAGAAGAGATAACTGCAGCATATTTACAGCACTGTGTTGCCCATATTTAGGGTGCACCTTCAGTCTGAACATTCCTCACAAAGTGAGCAGTACACACAGCTCCTATTTATTTTTAATGGGTTTCCTGCACGTGTTATAGAACAAGATCACATCACAGATCTGTGACAAAAATACCATATGATGGCTGCAAAGGAGGTGTAGGAGAAAAAATATAAATGGTTTGCTGTGCTATTTCGTCTCCATCTGTGAATGGCCTGTACAGTGAAGGAGACCAAAGCAAAGCGTAAAAGGAAGCTGATTGTGGACAGCGTAAAAGAGTTGGATAGTAAAACTATTCGTGCACAGCTGTCTGACTACTCTGACATCGTCACCACCCTGGATCTGGCCCCTCCCACCAAGAAGCTGATGATGTGGAAGGAGACCGGAGGAGTTGAGAAGCTTTTCTCTCTCCCAGCGCAGCCTCTCTGGAATGCTAGGCTGCTCAAGGTAACAGAGATGTACAGTTATTCAGGGATAATTAAACACCGTGACAACAATCACTCACTTTACACATCCGAAACACTGTACCTTTCTGTTTGTCCTCTCACCCTTTTTGCTCTCCAGATGTTTACGAGGTGTTTGACACCACTAGTACCAGATGAGCTGAGGAAGAGGAGGAAAGGTGGGGAGGCCGATAGTCTGGATGAGTTCCTCAAGGATCTGGAGAACCCTGATGTGCCCAGAGAGGAAACAACAGGCCACCAGCCAAGAGACATCATGGGTAACATGTCTTTTACATTGGTGGGAACAGTAATGACAATTTGAACTGTAAGCGCTGAGCACTTACTTTTCCCCACAGTATTAATTTGTGTTGGTATACATAAGCTTGCACCAGATATTTTTAAAGGAGAGATATCAGCTCTCCTTGACTAAAGGGTTCTCAATTTAGTGGGAAAATTGCTAAGAAAAGGAGGGCAGTGGATGCTCACATGTAATTTTAGTGAACTAAAACATTCATGGAAAAATATTTCTGTGTGAGTTTTCCTAACATGTTATGTATATTATGGTCCTTCTAGACCAGACCATCATGGAAGAAGCCAGCGTTCTGCAGACTTCAGCTGTGGAGGGCAGCAGGACAACACTGGATGAGTCCGTCATGCCCCCTCCATCCTCTCAACGAGGCCTGAAACGCAAGGCCCAGGACACTGAGCCAGCCCTGCCTGTGAGTACCACTGTCCTCTTTGCAGTTTTGGTCAATATGCTCTCTCTCTGTCCTCTCTACCAACTCTAATCACCCTCAGTCTCTGCCCTCTTACTTTCTTCACCCCAGATGGGAGCCCTGGATCAGCCACACCAACAACAGCAGCAGGGGTCTAGAGGCTCTGATGTGCCCCAGCAGCTGGAGGCATCATCCAGTGTAGATTTGCCCCCAGAGGAAACCACCACTACAAACATCAGCCAGCTGATAGAGTTGGACCTGCTTTCTGACAAGGACAAGAAGAAGGGTGATGATGATTCTGATGAAGAGGTGAGATGGTGTACTTGTAGTTTTATATAGTTTTGTCAGCTGAGCATGGACACACTCATTTTACCCTGGGCTATACAGAAGGATTGTAACTTTTTTTAATGTTTGCAACTGTACTGTTTGTGTCAGGAGGAGGAGGCACAGGGAGGAGACCAGGACCAGGAGGAGAGGAGGTGGAACAAAAGGACCCAGCAAATGCTTCATGGTCTCCAGGTGTGTATATGCTATGCTCACAGCTTATTACAGGCAGAAGAACAGGATGACAGTTTCTGTCTTTGGTGTCATAATTGTGCTTGAATGTTGCATCTGCTGATTAAAATGAATGCAGCTGGTGAGGAACAATATCAGAATCATAATATATGTAGTAATACAGCACAGAAGAAGAAATGCTAAAGACGTCCCCCTCCTGACTCTCTCTCACCTTGACACAGAGGGTGATGGCCAAAACAGGTGCCCAGTCGGTGAGTTTGCTCGACCTGTGCAGGAACAACAACAGGAAGCAGGCAGCTGCCAAGTTCTACAGCTTCCTGGTTCTGAAGAAGCAGCAGGCAGTGGAGCTTGTCCAGGAGGAGCCTTACAGCGACATTATAGCTACACCTGGACCTCGCTTTCACATCATCTAGAAAACACAACTTTAGAGCGTGAAAAGGATAAAAAACCTTCTCTATACTCCTTACATTTGGTCAAGACAATACTGGCTGTCTTATTTATTAATGTTCCTCATGCAGTGGGGAGGATTGAAGCTCCAAACAATGGATGATTTTTTTCAGCATATTATTTATGTTCATTACTAAAACTGGCTGCATAGCTAAAATTAACAATAGGTAAGTTAAATGGTGTGAGTACCCTGTGCTAAAGAAAGATTGTGCTGTATCTGCACCTTATTGTTTAGATCTCACACATTTTGACAAGCACCACTTGTGTTGTACTAGCATGACACCAAAGTTAAAAAGAGTTTCTCTGAAGACATGTTTACAGTGGCCAACAACGGTGTGTTTAAACAGCGACAGCTCAATCAACCGTGTCATTTGGAGTCTCATCTGTCTCACTACTCCAGGAAAGTTCTTGTGTACACAGACATTAGCCAGAAGGAGCATGTGCTGCAAGGGTACAATTAAACATTTACTAAGGTAGTGATTTATAGACTCAACCAGCAATTCATCCTTATACAACTGTAGTGTAACACAAACTATTCCAAGCTGGTGTTTTTACAAATGCTTTGCTTGCATTATTGACTGTTCATGCAGCATAAGAGTCAGAAAAGTATAGTTGTGTGCCAAATCCATACTCCATACTAATTTTAAAGATTGCTCACACTAGAAAAAAGACAAAACATACACAGAACTGTTAGTATGCATACTAATAATAAACAAAAGTTGGGTGTGAAGATGATGTACACCATACACTATTCTTCCACAATGCAAATGAAAAGAAATAGAGGAGCTTCTCACAGCTGGAAATAATTTTAACTCTACCACCATCACATCATAACAAAATGAGGGAATATGTTTGGAAGAATGATGTTCATCCCTCCAGAAGAGTTCCAGAGACTGGTGGAAACAATGCCAGGGTGCAGTGAAGCTGTGCTAGTGGCACATGGTGGCCCAACAGCTTACTAAGAAACTTTGTGGTTTTTCCTTTCATTTGTCACCTATTTAAAAAAACATTATGCTGTCTTTTGTTAAGGTTATGGAACTGAGCCACAGTCTAAAAAAAAAAGCTAGATATGATATAAACATCAGTGTGTGCATGCTCTGTCCTGAGATATTTTATTAGAGTGGAATTGTCCCAGAAACAACTTTACTACTATCTACTTTTTATTGCCATCTTTTAATCTTAAAATAACTTGAAGTGTGGGACTCCTTTTATCTAGTAGCCATTTTATATACTGTATGGACGATCATTGGTCACAACTGGTTGACAAAGAGTCATGTATTATCCTGATAATAAAGACTGTTTAGCTGTTACCCTTCAACAGTGTCACTTCCCCAGTAACCTCTGAGTGTGTCAAACAAGTAGATCATTTTCTCTGTTCAATGTTCACTTAGTGTTGTACTGTATAACAATAATAATGGATTGCTTTCATTTCAAAGCAAATGGATTTTTAATCTGTAGGAAGAGCTGATGACATGATCAAGTGAAGTCTGGATGGACATATTCAAGTTTGTCATGTTTGAACTCTAAACTCAATGTTTATTACCATAATACTGCAGACAATTTCAAAAAGTTGCAGCATCCAGTATAAAGAAGCAGAGCATCAAATCATTGTGTCCACACGTCTTCCTTGTGCTTCTGCAGACAGCTGAATGCACTGTTTTTCATAACTGCTCCCTTATAAAGTGTACATCATGTAATGTCTGAGCGCATCTAATATCTACAGCTATGCGCTGTATAGCCACTTTATTTTGTATAAACGTAAGACAACGGTTCTCAACCCATGTCTGTTAGTCCTGAGTTATAGAAACTGCAAAAAAATAAAATAATTTAATGACATTTTGGGTAAATAAACACTGATTTATCTATGTAGTAGCATTAGAAAAACACCAGAAATGTATGCGTTGGTTGTAACTGTGTTAGGGATAACACTTATCTTCAAATAACATTTATGCAAAAAACAAACTAGCTGAAGCTTGTCTTCCTGACATATTACATAGCAGTTACAGCAGACATATTATCACCTCCCTGTGTCTTTTGTTTCTTGTGTCGACTTCTTTTCCTATTCTCCCCCTGCTCGGTCTTCTTCAGCGGTGGTGTCGGCACCCCTTTCTTCTTCTTCTTCAAGCAGCTCAGAGGGTTAGGGTTGCTTGGTTTCCTCTTCCTCTTCTTCCCCCGCCTCTCTCCATCCTTCTGGCCAATGCCCTGCTCCTCTTTCAGGCTACGGATGCTCTGCTGCTCGGTTGGGCTTACCAGCTCCCCCAGCTGGACAGCCTGGACGTGGTCAAGGGACGCCTGGCTGGGTTTGTCCAGCACAATGGTGTTAAGGATGATGTAGAGCAGAGGAACACCTGGGATCTTCTTAAGGCCTGTGGTTACTGTGTGGTCCTGGAGATCACACAGACACACCAAATAGATTTGTAAATTGTAACTGTATTTGAATGCAATTTTAAGACTTCCCGTAATTACATCAATAATACTTCAATTGAGCCTAATTTAGTTTTTCCTAAGTTATCTCTTCCAAGACTTGCAAATGGTAATATGGCAACTCCTTAACTGATATTTATTTGGCTTCCACTATATTAGAAGGTGAAATAGTTTATTATGTAAGCCCCTCTTCCACAGGACAAAACCCATGCCAGGCATCCTGAGGGCAAAATGAATGATTTTCTCCTTTAAAACTCAGGTGGTTTCACTTGAATAACTCTTAGGTGTCGAAAAATGTCAAACTAGTCAGCATTTCATGAGAAAATAACTAAAATATAGGAAAACATCAGAAAAAAATCTTCTAAACTAGAGCAGCAGAGCACTGTTTTTTTTTCTTTTTTGTACCATCAATGACATCACCACCCTAAAGATTTTCCCCATGTTGTGAACACTTACAAGGCTCCCAAGCCCCATGTTTTTGCAACAACAGAAAACCTGAATTCTCAAGATTCATTATATCAAAACACTGTGTAGGATCTCACAGTATTTACCTGTGTGGCAACAAAGTAGTGATGTGGGTTTGTCTCCTCCAGCATGGACAGAAGACACTCGGATGCAGGAACTGGATTCTTGAAATGTGGACATTTCCTGACCTGAAACCTCTGCAGGATGATTTTAGCTCCATACAGCTGTTTCCCCAGAGTCTCCAGTTCTTTCAATGCACAGCTGAGACAAGACACACATAGACGTGGGTGCATGATAGGATACTGGACTAAACAGGACAGATAATTTTAACTTGCAACGTTACAGATCTAAATGTGCTCACTTTGTGGTGCACAGCTGAACTTCCCCCATCAGATACTTGGGCATCTGCTCTTTGATCTGAATCTTGTTTTTCAGCGCAGCCTGACAAAAAGTCCCATCAATGAGAATCTGAAAAGGTTCCCTGAAGCTGAAGTTGTATTTGTAGAAACTGATTGTTTTCTTTGCTTGTTTCTGTCGCTTGATCTTCATGGTATTTGGTGGATAAAGTCGGTACACCGGCTTAACGTTAGTTAGTTTTTTTTTTTTAACCTTTTTATAAACACTAGCGACAGGCAGGTTAAGTGTACGATTGTTCTTCCGGTTACGTCAGTTAACTCGTTTAATGGATGATTTTCATTAAAAATCAATTCTACTTTATCAAAGACCTAAACACGATAACTTACGGTGTACACAACCTAGTTGACGTTCTTTCGTCACATAACTCCGGGTGGAAACAAAATGTACAATGAAGGTTCCGGCTGTAATACAACAATGTCAATGTCGTCTTCGTCTTCTTCTGTTTCTTCTTTTCTTTTTTAAAATGTTTTTATTAATAATGCAAATCAATACGAGATTTTTCTGCACAAATTGTCACAACAGATGTATAACAGAGTGCATTTAGAGCATAACAGGACAAAAGTAGGAATATAATAACAAGGTGAAAAAGAATAACAGAACCAAACAGGTGAGAACAAAGAAAAGAAAATACAAAGAGGTAAGGCTATTCTGATATAAAATTAAAACGTTTGAGGAGGTCAATGGTTTTGGATCGATTTTTGTTAGGGTGGTTTAAAAAAGGATGGTGATTTCTTTTCAGAAATTTCATTCTATGGATGAAGAATTTGGCCAAAATAACGAACACATTAATAACAAATTTTTCATTGCTAGAGAAACGAGGCTTGTCAAAAATTAATAATATATCATATTCTTTAAGTACAATTTCCTTACCAAGATAATTTTGAGATCAAAACAAAAGTCAGTCCAAAATACTGTAACATGTGCACATTGAAAAAAAAGATGCTCTAAAGTTTCTAGCTCATTGTTGCAAAAGGAGAATTTTCCTTCTATGTTTGGAATGTATTTACAAATAATAGACTTTAATGGGTAAAATTTATGTAAGATTTTAAAGGAAAGTTCTTTACAGTGCCTTGCGAAAGTATTCGGCCCCCTTGAACTTTGCGACCTTTTGCCACATTTCAGGCTTCAAACATAAAGATATAAAACTGTAATTTTTTGTGAAGAATCAACAAGTGGGACACAATCATGAAGTGGAACGAAATTTTTGGGATATTTCAAACTTTTTTAACAAATAAAAAACTGAAAAATTGGGCGTGCAAAATTATTCAGCCCCCTTAAGTTAATACTTTGTAGCGCCACCTTTTGCTGCGATTACAGCTGTAAGTCGCTTGGGGTATGTCTCTATCAGTTTTGCACATCGAGAGACTGAAATTTTTGCCCATTCCTCCTTGCAAAACAGCTCGAGCTCAGTGAGATTGGATGGAGAGCGTTTGTGAACAGCAGTTGTCAGTTCTTTCCACAGATTCTCGATTAGATTCAGGTCTGGACTTTGACTTGGCCATTCTAACACCTGGATATGTTTATTTGTGAACCATTCCATTGTAGATTTTGCTTTATGTTTTGGATCAGTGTCTTGTTGGAAGACAAATCTCCGTCCCAGTCTCAGGTCTGTTGCAGACTCCATCAGGTTTCCTTCCAGAATGGTCCTGTATTTGGCTCCATCCATCTTCCCATCAATTTTAACCATCTTCCCTGTCCCTGCTGAAGAAAAGCAGGCCCAAACCAGGATGCTGCCACCACCATGTTTGACAGTGGGGATGGTGTGTTCAGGGTGATGAGCTGTGTTGCTTTTACGCCAAACATAACGTTTTGCAGTGTTGCCAAAAAGTTCGATTTTGGTTTCATCTGACCAGAGCACCTTCTTCCACATGTTTGGTGTGTCTCCCAGGTGACTTGTGGCAAACTTTAAACGACACTTTTTATGGATATCTTTAAGAAATGGCTTTCTTCTTGCCACTCTTCCATAAAGGCCAGATTTGTGCAGTATACGACTGATTGTTGTCCTATGGACAGAGTCTCCCACCTCAGCTGTAGATCTCTGCAGTTCATCCAGAGTGATCATGGGCCTCTTGGCTGCATCTCTGATCAGTCTTCTCCTTGTATGAGCTGAAAGTTTAGAGGGACGGCCAGGTCTTGGTAGATTTGCAGTGGTCTGATACTCCTTCCATTTCAATATTATCACTTGCACAGTGCTCCTTGGGATGTTTAAAGCTTGGGAAATCTTTTTGTATCCAAATCCGGCTTTAAACTTCTCCACAACAGTATCTCGGACCTGCCTGGTGTGTTCCTTGTTCTTCATGATGCTCTCTGCGCTTTAAACAGACCTCTGAGACTATCACAGTGCAGGTGCATTTATACGGAGACTTGATTACACACAGGTGGATTCTATTTATCATCATTAGTCATTTAGGTCAACATTGGATCATTCAGAGATCCTCACTGAACTTCTGGAGAGAGTTTGCTGCACTGAAAGTAAAGGGGCTGAATAATTTTGCACGCCCAATTTTTCAGTTTTTTATTTGTTAAAACAGTTTGAAATATCCAATAAATTTCGTTCCACTTCATGATTGTGTCCCACTTGTTGTTGATTCTTCACAAAAAATTACAGTTTTATATCTTTATGTTTGAAGCCGGAAATGTGGCAAAAGGTCGCAAAGTTCAAGGGGGCCGAATACTTTCGCAAGGCACTGTAGCTTTGTTGGATAAGACAAATTTGTAGGGCAAAGTAAAAACAGTGTTCCATGTTCTTCCATCAAGAGTCTGGCATGGCCATTTATGTTTAACAGCTGTTGTTGTTCTTGGAATGAAGGAGTTTTTTTATAAAGATGTTGTTGAATCTTTTATCAAAGATAGAAGTGCCATTAACAGCAATATCTAAATTGATAGAGTTGTGTGTGTTTGAGAAGGAGCGTGCTAAACAGAGAATGCCAAACGGAAGTGCATTAATAACAATATTATACTCGTGCTGGGAGACAGGAACCCTGTGACACAATATGACAACAGAACTCCATCACAGTTAAACAGTTGCTTTACAAGTACAATGCTATTTTTAAAGCAGTTTTCAAAGAACAAGGATTCGTTGTTGTAAGTGATAATGGCATTATTCTATAAAAAATATTAATGGAGCAGAGTAGTTGTGCTTATACAATAGAGACCAGCTCATAAGGACTGATTTATGGAGAGTTTGACTGGGAGCTTGCCCACAACGAAGGGACACATTAATAAGAAATTAAGACCACCAGCCTTTTTAAACAGGAAATTTGGGATGATATTCCACATGCTATCTGGATTTTTTAGAAATCTTTTGATCCAATAGATTTTTATAATATGGTTAAATGAAGAAAAATCTAGAACGTTGAGCTCTCCCTCTGTAAGAGGTATTTGTAATTTCCTTTTTAACCTTATGTGGTTTAGTTTTCCAAATTATCATTAATCAGTTTCTTATCATCCTTTGTGATTATAATTCCTGAATATTTCACTGTGTCTTTTACTGGGATGTTATATAATTCAAGAGTCTTGTTCTTTTTCTGTTGTTTAATGGCGGTTGGTAAAATAGCTTTAGGTGCATTACCGCCACCTTATGGACTGGAGTGTGGATCAGAACGGCCCCTAGTAGGTAGGGGGCCCAACGGCGGCTGTACTTCCTGAGGAGGCTGAGGAGGTTTGGCATGTCGCTTAGGATCCTTTGCAACTTCTACAGCTGCATCATTGAGAGCATCTTGACCAGCTGCATCACTGTCTGGGATGGCAGGGCGCCAGCTATGGACCGTAAGCGCCTGCAGAGAATGATAAAGACTGCGGAGAAGATCACCTTTCTTTCCCTCTGCCATCAGACTCCTAAACAGCTGAGGAGTTTATTACCAGGAAATACGTCATGTACTGATGACCTGTACTCTTTACATTCTCAGTTTGCACATTGACTGTTGACTGCTCCCATGCTGCTCCCATGCAGCATACATTCTCTTATTATATTCTTATATATTTTTATTATATCTCTTCATTTGCTGCTTTAAAGTGACTTAGATTTTGTTACTTATTTATCTATTTTATATTTCATTTTTATTGTGTGGCATTCATGTCGACGGCAAAGTAAGAATTTCATTGTACAGGGAAACGTGTTTCCGTACTGTGCATATGATAATAAACACTTTGACCTTTGACTTGACTTAAAAAAAAAACTTCAATATTTTAATTGTGGAATATAGTTTTGTGAGTTTTTTGTAGGATTATTACACAGACAGACACTAAAGATACTATAAAACAGACAGACAGATACTATAAAAAAGTTTAATGATACAAGTTGTATTATTATGGTTGATGCCCCACCCCCCGTCCTGTTTCTCCGGAAACGGAAGTCCTCAGCAGCCGCCTCGCTTGGCTCGTTCAGTGATACTTGTCGTTACCTCTGACTCACCGTTAACGTTAGCTCGACTCGGCCTGTTTCGATTTGGTTGGGTCAGTGCTTTACCTTCTTTCCTTCCTTGTACAGTAAGCATTATGGCGGGGTCGGGTGCGCCAGCAGCCCCCGGAGACTG